TTTCGTTGTTTCTATGGGCATTGCCTTGTTGAAATTAAAATTGATATTATCACAGGAACTCACACACCGTCGGTTGTTTTAAAGACATTGAATTGGCTAAAGTCCCCAAGACCTCTAGCGAAGTCAGGATGAATGAGGATGAAGATGCAAAAGTTGAAGGAACTGGTTCAGGCTTCATTTGGGATGAATTTGGTCACATTGTAAGCACTCCTTTTTCTAGCATGTTCAATCGATCTGAGTTCTTAAATAGGTTAAATTCTCTAATCGATACCCAACATTTCTGTCATCATAGTTTGAAATTTTTGTTTTTAGATTATATATAGTGACTATCTGTGATGGTGATTCAATCTTATGGAAATATTAAGACATGGAAAACATTTTCAAATATTATTTCTCACCCGTGGAATTAATGCATCATGTTTACATTTTTAGACATCTTAATAAGGAACCAATGACTGTCTGTCATGTATGTTCTCTATGACATTGATTGCACATATTTGCTCCTGAACTATTAGAAATCATCAATTTCCTTTTCTGATGAACAGGTTACCAATTACCATGTTGTTGCTAAATTGGCTACTGATGTTGGTGGTTTACAACGTTGTAAGGTTTTCCCTTCTGCTGTTAATTATATTACATTAAAGTTTTTGCTTGGAGATGAAGGAAATGTGGATGTCCTTTCCCTTTATTGTTGTTGTTGGCCAAAAAAGCAGCTTAAACAGTCTGATTCGTATTAAGAATCTCTTTCCATAAAGATTTGTTCTGCCTCTCCTGTGTTATTTTATTGTGGCACCCCCAAAATTCAATAGACCAAAGAGAAATATTTAGATAGACCGAGTGCACCATATCATTTGTGGTCTGTTCAATTAAAATACTCTAAGTAATCTAAATAAAATCTTGTGTGACATTTTTTTTAATTGATTTTTTTTAATAACAAAATGTACATTTGATTTCTTTCCTTTTCTCTCTCTACTATCATTAATATCAAAATCAATTTATATTTAATATCATCTAAATATTATATTTTTATTGGACAGACCACAAATAACGTGTTGCATTCGGTCTATCTAAGTATTTCTCATAGACCAAATGTTATTTTAGAGTGATGGTAACTAGGAGACAGGAATGAGCATGACAGTTCAAAGGAGAAGAATGACTTCTATTTACAGCAACCAAAATAATGATGATAATTAAACCTGATACAATTAAACTTATGGTAATTTGGTGATTACAACAATTAACTTGATTGAAATATAACATAACCAACTGGAGGCAATGTGAGATAGTGTTTGTATCGAATGGCCATATCTAATAGTCATTTTTCTCTGTAACCATTCTTCTGAGCAGCAATTCATACATACTATTACTGTCTACAGGTGTTTCTAGTTGATGCCAGGGGAAATAACTTTGTCAGGGAAGGGAAGATAGTTGGCTTTGACCCAGCATACGACCTGGCTGTTCTCAAGGTATATTGTGATCCAACAACCACTCCCCCTTTCGTCCATTTTGATTTTTGATAATGAATATTTAAAATCATTTTTCCCATTCAATAATATTGACAGTAAATATAAATCCATGTACACCCTTTTTGTAATTTTGACAGTTAAAATTTCTGTGAGAAGATGAGAACACCAGTAGCATGAGTTGGCTTGCGCCAAGCTACATTTGTTTTCAATTGAAAAATGCCATCTTCTTTTTTTTCGCGTAGCAAAATATGCCATCTTTTTGTTTATAGGGGGCAACATTATTATTCTAGGGAGAACTAGGTGCAAAGAAATTTTCTGTTCTTAATCCTTTTCTACATAGAGAAACTAGTATCAAGAGATTTTAAGTGGAAATATTGTTGTTACATATCAGCCCAATAACACTCGTTTTCCTCTTTCCCTCACTGCAAGCCACTTTCTCTCAAAATTACTTATTCCATGTACAGGTCGATGTTGATGGGTACGAAATAAAACCTGCAGTTCTTGGAACATCTAAAGATGTACATGTTGGTCAGAGCTGCTTTGCTATTGGGAATCCTTATGGATATGAGAACACTCTGACAACAGGGGTAATTCTCAAAAATTTAAAGTAAACATGTATATAATTTAATGAGAAATCCCCAATGCTGTTGTGAACTTTACCTTATCAACTACATGTTGGGGAAAAAGATCATAGATTCATGTATGAAAATTTCAACAAACATTTATTTACTATTCAAAGGTGTTTCCAGATTGAACTGAAGTCTCTCCAATAGAACATATGCTGTTGCTTCTTTCATGAAATGCTTATGTGACTTGCTACTGAAGGATAATAAAGCCTTTATAACTAAGAAAAGTAATCATTGTGAGCGATGTAGACTTTTTTCAGGAGGTTGTGGTGGGTTAGTATTGGAATAGATGTTCTAAGGTTCAAGTTGTAGTGACAACTCCTTATGTAGGAATGTCTGTGGATTATATATTGGGTAATTTGAAGTCATGCAGAGAATGACATGAGAATTTGATTGTGTATAAGGCTTATTTTTCATCTTTACATCGTATTTTCTTTTCTTTTCTATTTCTTTCCTATTATATTATGTGCAGTCACTTTTGTGGCAGTATGGAGTCTAAAATAGGTGTGTTTTGGCTGATGTAAATGCTCCAGGTCATCAGTGGTTTAGGCCGGGAGATTCCTGCACCAAATGGGGGAGCTATTAAGGGGGCTATTCAAACCGATGCAGCTATTAACGCAGGTAGCCTTAGGCAATAGTATACGGAAAGTAAATTGAAAAGTGCTTTGCCTTACAACACAAGGCAATCATAAGGCAACACATTTTCCCATTTTCTTTCTAGAAAACATTTTTGGCAAACCAAACGTCACCTGACCCTAGGATTGAAGTTAGATGTGTTAGAACCTCAAACCTTTATACTCTCAGTAATTGGTTTTTATTTAAAAAGGTTACTAATGGGGAGAAATAGTACCTTGTGCCCCATCATATCGGTCAAATTAAAGGGGTGATCAATTCTACCAATTTTTCCCTACTCTCGGACTTACTGTGTTTGGAATTAGGTAACATTAGCATCCTAAGATCTTTTCTTAATCTGATAGAAAAACCCGGTTGTTTTTTCACGCCTATATGAGGATCTACCATCATGTTACTGTGTGCTTAGCTTCATACTTTCGTATAGTAATGTTTTATATCTTCCACCCTCATAGAGAAATGTTATCCAACGCAGAGAGCGTCATGAATCTTGATGGTTCTTATATGATATTCTTGTGTATTTACAACGTAAAATTTCAGCAATACTAAGGCTTTTATTGGCATCCTTGCATTTTCTCGGGACTAGTTAGGTATCATGGTCTGATGCTTAATTTGAATTCATGGATCTGAACAGGGAATTCAGGTGGACCATTGATTGATTCTTACGGGCACGTTATTGGAGTAAACACAGCAACATTCACTAGAAAAGGTATGAAATATTTCGTAATTCATCTTTCTTGGAAAAACATCAGCATTGTACCATATAACATCTTTTATCCAATGATAAGGGCGTTGAACGATGTCACTGATTCATCACTACCCTCTTTTTGGCTGTTATAGTGCCAATTTACAAGTTTTTAACTTATGAAGTCATTTTCTGAGTGGTGTGAATGAATATATTTTTTTCATGTTTTTATTACATAATAGAATATTGACTAAGTTACTCTAGTAAGCCTTCATGTATAATAAGGTTCATAATGCTGCGTTTCATTCAGGGACTGGAGTGTCATCTGGTGTGAACTTTGCAATTCCCATCGACACTGTTCTCAGGAGCGTGCCTTACCTTATTGTGTACGGAACACCCTATACTAACAGGTTTTGATAAATGTTAGGTGTCAATTACATAAACATTGAGATTCAGTTTTGGGATTCATTTTGTTGGTCAAATCCCATGCCTGTATTATCTAAAGCTGACAATCAGTAATCTGATTTATCCATTGATTACATTACATGTCCGTAAGATTTCCTTAATTAAATGAAATGGGCGTGCTCGGACTAAATCTACATTTGGAAAACAGGATCCAGTAAATGACTGTCTTCTGGATGTTTGACTGCGAAATTTAACATTTTTATACAGATCTTGATCATGTTTGATTTCATGTTAGATTTCATGGGTTACGATGTGAAGCGAAATTGTACATGCCCTTTTCCGATGCATCAGAAAAATCCCCAACAGAACATTGATGGAATTTTGAAAATAAAAGTCTAATCAAGAGTCTAATGATAATTGTTTTGGAACTAAAGAGGATAAGACCGCATAACAGAGCGGTACTGGAAGAGGGCATTGAGAAAAAGATGCATGTAAACAGATTTACATATCAATGAGCATAACAAGAAAAATCTACTCCTTTAAGTTTCTAATAATGTATTATTGTTCTCCTAAGCTTAATTGTCAATGGACCTATGAATGTTTAATTGTGTTGAGTATGATTTATATGTAATTCTACCTATTTTCTATTATCTAAATAGCTGCCAAAGAGGCAGGCCAAACAGAATACAACATGCTTAAAGCCTACACGAGGATTTTAAACCTAAGGCATTTATCATTGTCTCCAAACACTACATATTTTTATCTTATTCTACTCCTTCAAACCAAAGCCTGACAACTATATTGAACTGGGTAACGTGCTGACTTGCTCAGACAGGTAAAGTCCACAAAAATAAGGCAGCTGAATTCAGTAAAGCACCAACTGTTCTCTTTTCCTTTTTCTGCTGAGGCATTTTTGTAACTTCATTTCATTTAAACAATGGCAGTAAATGTAGCATCAGTGAAAATAATTCAAGGAATAGGATAAACCATTGTGATTATCACTTCCATAGAAAAAGAGGCTTTATTGTCATGACTCTGATTTCGACCATATGAACAAGCCCTCCATTGTAACCCACTATTCACGGCCAAATGTTGGAAAGATTTTTAACATTTTGGAGCAGAGAGCAGAAACTGCATTGAACTTTCACAAAACGAAGGAAATCATGCGTTCTTTACTTTTTCTCTCCATATGACAATGAATCAAAGTGGAACTTGATGTTTCTCATGGCTTCATGCTCAACCATTCAGAATCATGATGGGATTTTAGAATGTGACGATTAAGAAATATTTACAAATGAGTCATTCCTAGTTTCAGACGCAAAGTAAAATCAAATGATGCTCTTTGCTTTGAGATTAAGATCGTCGTTTCCTGAACTTCTCCATGCAGGAGAGGGGAGAATCGGGTTTGTACTTTGCACATCTCCTTTGTTGAAACGGGCAAATTCCGATTATTTGTAGTGCAGTTCCCTGCACAATAACTTCGTAAACTCAAAAAAAGCTAGATGTAGTTTGTTGATCCTTTATTGTTACATTGCAACAAGTTTTACTCAAATTTTAATGAAAATTAATCGGATGCATCCTTAGTGAAAAAATAGCATCAACTTTCAAACAGTATGTCTTCTAGATTGAAGAAAAAAGACAACCGATATGAACTCATTCGTGTGTACGAAAACTACTTTATCATGTTTACCAATCAAGTCTTCTACATCACCAATTCATAGTAATTAAACCATGGGCGTTCTGTCACAACTGAAATTTGTCAAGAACCATAATCATATCGTCTTCCATATTCGTGTCAATGGATTGAGATTCAATCAACAGCTAACAATCCTAGATATTAACAGAACACAATATTCATGAACCACTAAAATCTATAATCAATTCGTAATTCCTCAATCCAGAAATAGCTTAAACCAGAATAATGCTCACGTCTCATTGAGTGCTAGCACTGACAACTGTTCTTCCACTGAATAATCCACATGGCAAGATGTGCGGCATGAAGAAGGAATAAGAATAAGACCAAGGCACCTCTGCTCCATCGGAGAAGGCGAGGACCGCCGTGTGCTGCGATACTCCACGGCGTCCTGGAGAATGATATTCCCTTGCTTATCCATACAGTAGAATCCACCCAAGAAGAACCTCCCATCATTAATGCCCACAAGCATCCGACGGAACAGAAGCTTCTTTACCCTATTGACCCGATCCGAACTTATTTGCCGAGGACCATCTGAGCTGTTCTCCTGACCCAGAGCCGGAGGTTGCTGCGTTTCTCGTTCCATCGTTTGGAGATTGAGCGAAAACCTCCTGCCAGAAACAGTCTCAAGTTTGGTTTCGATGAAATTGAAATGGATTGGTAATGAAGTTGTTTGATAGAGGTTAGGTATGTCACCGTAGCAAGTTGTCGACGGGGAAGACCGTCTCCACCGCGATGGATGGAAGAGAAATGGAACGATTGGGAGATGTCAAATGTGTGAGAAACGAGATTTTGCGTGTTGCTCTCTACAGGTGAGCGCGATCTTCACCGTCCGATGAGAATACCTTGTTTAATTAAGGAAAACTTAGTCTCATGTTCCTTGGAAAAGTCAATTTTACATTCAAATCCTTTGAAATCCACTAATGATTGGACCAATCAGGTCGATCCATGAATCGGTAAACCGACCACTTCACTGATCTTGGTTTCTAGTTAACCTAGTTGATGGATTGCCTTCCTCGTATCGACAATTGATTAAATTAAAATTAATTTAATATAATATAAGCTAATTTTAAGTCATTATTTTCAAAGAGTACTTTAACAGTTATACTAAGTTTTCTAGGTATTTGAAAATTAATGTAAAAAGATCTAAAACTAAATGCTATATTTTTGCACTAAAATACAAATAAAAAAATGTAATTTATGCAACTAAAGCTTCCTAAATGGATCCATACTTATATCACCTAAATGCTATTATCCAATGTATGAATCCTAAATTATGATGGGGTTTTGTGATGAGAAAAATAAAATGTAAACTAAAGAAGTTAATTAAATGATAAAAAGGATTAATTAATCAAAAATTAAAAAAAGTTTGATTTAATTTTGATAAAGGGGACAACTTAGGACATTACATGGAATTAACTTTCCTATTCCAATTCAATTAGTGAGATCAAAAAGAAATAATAGAAAAGAAAAATTAATAATTCAATTATCTAATTAAAGTAAAGAAAACTCATAAGTATAAAGTCTAACGTTTAATTTATTAGAGAACTCATAGTGAACCAAATATTATGACTATGAATTAAGCAAATTAAATTCCTTAAAATCAATGACGATTAATTCAAAATAGATTTGAAAAAAATATTTAAATTACCTAATTAAACAATTAGATAAATTACTAACTTAATTGAATAATCAAGAAATATAAGAAACAACTCAAATTTGCAAGAAACACTGCAATGACAATTAAATTAATAATGAAAACTCAATTATTAATTTAATTGGTAAAATAAGGGTATATAAATATAAATTTTAGAAATTTATTAAGCACAAAATCAATCCAAATATCCATCTAATCTAACATTCAAAAATATTTAAAACTTAAAACTAGATTGTACTCAAGTATTATAACTTAAAATTATTTAAAACTAGATAATTCTAAGCTCTTGAATTAAAAAGATAAATGAAAAAAAACTCCCCAATAATCTTCAAATGCAAATCCCAAGTTCTAACTTCCTTCATGCTTATCCTAAGTTATCTCCCAAGCTAGCTCAAGCTCTCATGAATGAAGCTCTCCCTCCAAACTTTAAGCTACAAGTCACAGTCATGAGATGATTACTGGAAATGGAGTTTAACAAATGAGTGAACAGTTTGGAAGCGGGAGAGATGAGGCGGCGTGAATGGGGATAGGTACAATTTGGATGAAGATGAGGTGTGTGCCGTGGATTGAAAATATAGAATGGAAATAATGGAGTGATTAATTGGTGGAAGAATGGAAGAAGAGACGAGGTGGCATGAATGAATGGGGTGGGAGAAAAGAGAAGCCGGAGATGGAGACGCGGCTGCGGAAGGAAAGAAAACATGAATGAGAGAGCTCTCAATTCTTGATAGTGGTACTACGTATATTTGTGAAAGGAAGAGATGGTTAGAAACATATGATCCAATGGTTATGTTAAATTCCAAAAAAGCCAATAAAAAAAGATAAAAAAAATGAAAAAGTTTTCAAATTTTTCTTAATTAGAAATGCCTATTGCACTCTTAATGAATCTTGATAATTATTTCCTTATTCTTCACAACCTTGATCATCGGATATATTTTGAAACTCAAGAATTAATCTTCACCATTAAATTTTATTAATTGTGCTTTCATAACCTAAAAAGTCAACATTAACCTATTAGTTTAGATTTTGTCAAAAATAAGTCTCATGTCTAATGAAATATTTTCATATTAATTTCCCCAACAATTAAAATTTTCCAATAAAATGGCTAAGAACTCACATAATGTATAATGATTTTATAAATCAAGCTTAATTAAAGATTGAAAAAATTAAACCATGTTAAAAATAGGAAAAATAAAATATTAGCAATTTAAGCTTAAAATTTTCATAATCAATCCAGAAATATATTATTCCTCAAAATTGACTAATAATTTAAATAATATCTAATAAACCCAAACTAGCCCAAAATCATCATTAAAATGCATTGAAAATGTGGGATAAAATGTATAAAATCTATGATTTATTATCAATCTGGTAGTGACCTGGATTAGCTCAGCTGACCTGAGGTCAACCCAAGGTAACTTGGGTAACCCGATGGGTTATTGGGCTAATCAGGTCACTTTTTTTTTGCCAAAACCTAAGAAGAATGAAAAAAATTAGCTTAAAAAACTATTTTTAGGGGTTTTTAATTTTTCTAACTTAACTCTAAAAATTAAAAAAAACTAGAAAAAGGATTCAGAAAATGAATTTAGCCTTCAAGTCTTGGCCTTGAAGAATAGAGGTTCTATGAGATCATGAAGGTTTTTCTTATTCAACTCCTAATGTCTCAATGCCTAAAGATTTGAATGAAGTTAATAATAACTTTAGTGTTAGTGATTATTAGTTCTAGAATTTTTAATGATTGAAAGGTTGTAAGGATGAATATTTGGAATGTTGTATTTTATTATTGTCAGACTTTTGAATAATTGTATTTATATAATTATTATTGTATTTGTATCTTGTATTAGAAATTAATCTTGGATTTGGTTAAATGTTGTCATGATTAATGTGTTTTTATTTAAATTATATTATTTTAATTATGACTTATTTACCCTCCAGGTTGACCCTCTATTCAACTCTGGTTAAACCACTAACCCATGACCCATTAGCTTGGTTGGTTCAATGATTGATCTGATTTTCAATACCTTGAATTATATTGAATACTGAAGTTTGAAGTCCCAGGTCAAAAAAAAGTCTCAAGTCCCTTGACATGTTATACGAGTAGTTAGATGGCCCGACGAGCTCAATGTAATTGGAGGATTTGAATTAAATTTGGAATTGACCATTGGGCTAGGATCAAAACATGTCTTGCCCCACTTTGATGCATGAATTTTTGTTTTAAAAAAATTGTGAAACTAATTGTTTATTATTATTATTTCTCAATTATTTTGTGCAATATAATATTCTTATGATTATCATAAATATTTATTATGGTTTCAAATTTTTAACCCCTTTTAAAATTTTAAATTCATTTTGAACTTATATTGTTGTTTGTGCTAAAAACTAGTTGGTGGAAATGGTTTGAAGTGTTGTACCTTTTTAGAGTTTAGAATGCTGAGCGTGTCAAAGAAGTTAAATCCTCAAAAGAGTTGGTGATCAAAAGATTATAAGCTCCCAATGTCATTTACCATAATTTCCTTGGATCGTCAAAGCAAATTAAAGTTCAAAATATGTGAGCGAGCATGCTAGTATGAAAGTACATTATTGGGAAGTAAGTAAATTGAGGATACTCTGATGATCAAAGGGAGGAGCAAAGTAGCAAGCTTAGTAAGTTTAAATTGGAGATTAAGGATTGCGTTGGGCAAGTTTGAGATTGGCACTGAGGTAAGTTTGTTTGATGTAAATTAGTTGTATAGAGCATTGAAGAAAGGCTTCAGTTACATACTCACTGCCTTTTATATGGGTAGGCAATAATGTACTTCTTTGAATTTGAAATTTTTCCACCTAAGGGAGCAGTTCCCACTTGCTTTAGAATTATGGGTGCACCTTATTGAGAGAGTGTGGTAGAGTAGCACTTTGAGTTTCACGAATAGTAGGGAATGGTCTTAGACCTGATTGCCTCTCTATTGAAACATGACATTTCACTAATCTCTCAAAGGTTTGGCCTTTAGACAATGGTAGAGTGGCCTTGTTGTAGAGTCTCCTTGAGTTAGGCCACGACATTCTTGATTTTTTGGCCTATAGCATATTTTTGGTTCAAACAACTATATAAAATTAAAGAATATTTTTCAATATATATAATTTACAAAATGATTAGCCTTTTATCCTAATATTAAATTTATAAATAATATATTTTCAACGACATTGATTATATTTTTTATGAATAAATTCATTTTTTATGCTTTTGAGATATTAAGTTTAAAAAGATGTGGTGGTTGGGTAAAGCCTAACCCTAAATTCAAACATTGAGCAAGACTGGAGTAAGACTAAATTGCATGTAAGACCTGACTTTTGTCCATGAGCAACAATGTCCTTGCTAAGAAAGCAGACCTCCAACAATTACCATCCATCTATTGTAGTGATGAAATTATTATCATCAACTATCAAAACCTATCATTGATGAAAGAATTTTTGGGGAGTAGTTATGGTAAGTCATTTAATACATGCCAATATCCAAACGACTTTAGTAGTCTAGTGCTTATATTTAGCATATAAATAAGTAAGGTTGAGTTAGACTTTGACTGAATAAACTTGAGTCTGCATAGTAGGTCATAAGATTGAGTTCTTGAAGCTTGTGTAAGGTATTTTTTCATGAATCAGGTTTGAGTCTATCTAAAACTTGACTTGGCCTGAAAATCTATTTAAAATTTTATTTAAAAGTAAACTTTTTAAATAAGTTTATATATTAGTTTTAATCATCTCAAATTATATTTTAAGATTGTTAATATATATATATATATATATTAACCGATATATTAATTACAATATATAAAAATTAAGAGGATTTACCAACTACAATAATAAAGTAAATGCATTAATAAGTTCACTCTAATTGAAAATATAACTAGAAATAAAAAGAAATAGATTGATTAAAAATTAAATGATAAAATTAATATGTATATAATATATTATATAATAATAATATATATGTAAAGAAATTGACTTGTCAGGCTTGTAAGTCAAGCCTTATAAAAATAAGTATTAGATAAATTTAATTAAAAATTTGAATTTAATCTGAGTTTATTTAATAAATGAATTAAATTGAACGTCGCCAAGGATACCTTTATCCCTACCCGTATTATTTTTTGAGATCCACGAGGTCATATGCATCCTCCTTACCGTGAACATCCTCCCAGAAAATTCTATTGTCAGCATAGTTAACCTTGGACGTTGCCGTTGGCAGTGGCAGCTCTAGCTCCAACGACGGATAACAACGGATGGAGGCAAGTTTTCTTTTTCTTAAAAAAGTAAGGACATTGTAGCAATCGTGCTTCAGAATTTATTTAAAAAAAGATTTGGGACTTTTGCGTAATACGTGAATTTTTGACTTCTGAGGCAACTGTGTGTAAAATTAACTCATTCAAGGGTGTGGGAGTGATTTTCTCTTTTATTAATTTTTGTGTTATTTTCTGTTATATTTTAACCCTTTTTAGTTTATAATTCGTATTTATATAAGGAAAAACATAACTCTATATCTTTATTTTTTTTTTGTATTTTGTTATTGATCCTTACACTATTTTTTAATATTTTAAGTCTCTCTAATGTTTTTACAATTTAATCATGGAAGAATCTAAAATAATAAAAAATAAAAATATGGGAACTTAAAATACTAAAAAAAGTGTAGGTATTGATAGCAAAATGAGAGCAAAGTGCAGTATTTAAAGTTAAGTTTTTTCTTATATAAATTTCCTGAGTTTTTCAAGATAATCAAATACCTGATTTTATTGATGACTTTTGAAAAATAAATTGTATTTGCTACTATACATATTAAAACTCTCTAAATTTTAGTATCTATTAATGAGCTTTTTGATCTTTTAAAACTGGACAATTTACTTCAACTTTTTAGTTTATGCACTAATTTCTCTACTGTTAATTATTCTGTTAGATAATTAATAATTAATAAGCATAAAAATAACTGTTATTGACCTAGTATATCATTTTTTCCCCTTCATTAAGCGTCCATTTTACTTAATGTAAAAAAAAAATTGTTACATTTATCTTTATTCTTTTTTTCCCTCAAACTTTAAATCATGTGTAGACATAAATTTTTAATCATGTATAAATAAACTCCTTATTATACTATGTTATTTTAGTGAAATAATGAATATATTAACAATTAACAGTAGACTTTATTTTTTTTAAGAAAAATCAAATTTAAATTTAGCTTATATATAATGATAAATATACTAGACTTGTTATTTTTTTCCCCCAAAATATCATGCGGGATGTTGCGACTTTCAAAATATAATTAATAATTTTTTTAAAAATACTTTTAATTAAGGTATAATTAATGAGATTATCAAATTGAAACATCCTATTACATAAAAAAAAATATGAAAACAATGTGAAATTCAAAAATAATTAAAACTAAATCATTAAGATATACTTTCTTGGATCCTTAATATAAGATGGAGGTAGAGTAATTAATATTTTTTTCAATTTTATCTTTATTTATTTATTATTTATTGTCAATTGAATTTTTGGAATACAATTTATTATGATCATTAATTATAAAAAATAAAATTTAAAATTTATATATATTAATAATTTTAAGGATATAATTATATTTTTTTAACAAATAGATGAAATTAAAAAACACAGTAATAATTTGGTTAGACATATTTTATAATTCTGAAGTAATTGTTACGTCTAAAATCAAATCTATTGCTTGTGTTCGAAACCCAGGAAACTATTTGCCCCGAATTCCAGGATGTCCAATTGTTCGTGATCCGGACAGTGTACTACCGCGAATCCTAGGAAGCTCGCCAAGAGAGCAGCGTTAGTTGTTACTACCTTCTTCGCTCCCACACTTTAGAATTAGGGTTTCGATTGGCGTCTTCTTCTCTCTAAATCGTCAGGTATGCAACACTAGGGTTTTCACCTCTTCTTCTTGGTCTCCTCTTCTTGTTTGAATTGAACTCTTGTTTCTTGGGTTTCCATGAAGTTTGTTTTTTGTTCCTCACACAATCGTCGTATTAATCTGCTGATTTTTCTGTTTCGAGATGGCTCGTTTCTGCATCTTGTGTTTCATCTTTCTTCTTTGGATAATTAAGACAGAAGGTCAGCAGGAGAGTAAAATCATACGTTTATTATTTGCAGAAACCAATTTGTTCCAATCTTTTTAGGTGATTAATGTAGCAGTTGTCATTCAGTTGTTTTTAATCTCTGTTATGTCATGACTGGCCCCAATATTTAAGATTTGCATATTTTGTTTCAAATTTTTACTCTTTACGAAATAGTTATTTCACTCGTTTGAAGTGCCGTGTGGTAGACCCTGTAGAAAACGGTATCTAGTATTGCTGGGAGCTGAGTTTTTTTTTGGTTACAGTAGTGCTTCTTTTGGGATAACTATAAAAATTGGTTTAGTAGACCTATTTCAGTTAATAGCTTATTTTAGCCGAACAAAAGTTGTGAAATAAGTAAATGATGTAAAGTCCACTGGTTTACTTCATATCCATTTAATCTGTTAACCTAGGATAGGCAATGATGTTACACGTGGCTTTAAATTGCAGATTGTGGTTGCCTTAGTAATTGCAGGAAAATATAGAGATGTCATGAAAACATTGCAAACTGCAATCGCTGATTGATGTGGTTGGGAAATCCAGCCCACCACAACGGTGATATTGTCATATTGCAGTTACTGATTAGAGTTTAAATCAATAAACAAGTATATGACTTTGAAATTATTGATTTATCTAAAAGTATGTCATGCTTTCAGGAGTCACGCCAATATATATCAATGGGTGAGACTGGGAAACGATTTCGTTCACAGAGAGACCACAATGGGGATAGTAGAAATCAGAAGAGACGCATGAATCACAAAGATGGAAAGGGCAATGATGAATTGGTTGTTTATAGGGTACTTTGTCCAGATGGAGTTATTGGAAGTGTTATTGGCAAGGGTGGAAAAGTGATAAATACAATAAGGCAGGAGACTAATGCAATAGTCAAGATTGTTGATCCATTTCCAGGTGCCAATGATCGAGTTATAACAATTTACTCCTATGTTAAGGAGAAGGAAGACATTGAGGTAGATGATGAGTTCAGCAGCAGGGTTCCTCTATGTGCTGCTCAAGATGCTCTTCTTAAAGTCCATGCTGCTATTGTAAAATTTGTGGCAAGTGTTGCAGACACTGAAAAGAAGCATAAGGATAGGGAAGAATGCCAGATCCTTGTTCCATCAAGCCAGTCTGCGAATATCATTGGTAAAGCTGGGTCTACAATAAATAAATTGAGAAATAGGACAAGGACAATGATCAAGGTTACACCTAAGGATGCAACTGACCCAACACACTCATGTGCCATGGATTTCGACAATTTTGTGATGGTTAGTTCTCGATGCAATGAAACAACCTATTGAACAGTTTATTGCACTAGAATGCCTTAGTAGATAATTTAGTAGCGTTGAAGTCTGTGGTTCTCCCCATCAGAAAATCCAGGATTTGTGATGATCTTTTCCCGTATATTGATTTTAATCTGCAAATTAGAAGCTGGGGATCCACATTGGTGGGACATATCCTTTGCGTGAAAGGAGTTAATTTATGGTTGGTAAGACAGTCAAATGAATCTGAGGCCCTAATGGGCATATTAAGTTGGCAAGTACATCTGCTTTTGTTGATTATCTCCTTGTTATATGGTGCTGCGGAAAATCTTCTTTTGACATCAATATATCCTGCTATGAATGAAGAAAAATGTTGAATTAAATAGATGTTTTGTTATATTATGTTCAAATCTTAATGATCTTAACAGGGTGAAGAAACTTGAGCACATGTCGGCTGGCTGAATGCTCAATAGTTATGATTAAACTGCATGAGATTTTGAATATCCTCTCTCTCTCTCTCTCTCTCTCTCTCGCATAAGATTGATCTCCATGCTGATATGCATGATTGAATCATGTATAAACGCAAGAAACAAATTTTTGGTAATGAAAGAAAAATGTAGCTGAATTTGTACTCTATGTATTTCCTTAGAAAAAGACACCTATGGTGTTTATATTTTTCCCCATCTATATGATCTATATTTTTCCTATCATTTTGTTTTTCAATATGAGAAGAGCTTCCTGCTGCTAGCAAAGTGGTTAAAAAGATGCATAAATAAACGCCCTGTATTCATGAATGCATTGTTTTATGCAATGTCAGTAAAATAGACAATAATTTGCTCAGATGTTGAAGCCCATCCTTTTATAGTGTTACTTCTTTAATTGTAACTGTATTGTCAAAGCCTCATTATCAGTCTTGGGTATAATGATCTTAGTTTTATTTGTTTGGAAATTTAATCATTCTCATATTGTTTTTTGGCTAATAGATATCTGGTGAGTCAGAAGCTGTGAAGAAAGCACTCTTTGCAGTTTCTGCTATTATGTACAAGTTCTCTCCTAAGGAGGACATTCCTCTTGAAACAAATGTACCTGAAGTCCCTCCTAGTATAATTATTCCCTCTGATGTCCCTATTTACCCACCTGGTGGATTATATCCAGCTTCAGATCATGTTATGCCACCTAGATCTCTTCCTCCAATAATAGGTGCTACAAATTTACAAGACCTACAAGATCTACCAGCTTATGCTGATGCAGGAAGTACGTGGTCTCTGTACTCATCTGCCCTTCCAATAGTTTCTGGTGTTGGTGGTGTTTCCCAATCTGAAGAATTAGTTGTCAGAATGCTCTGCCCCTCTGACAAGATTGGGCGTGTCATTGGGAAGGCAGGAGGTACCATTAAAAGTATAAGGCAGGCTAGTGGTGCTCGTATTGAGGTTGATGATTCCAAGGCTAAACACAATGAGTGTTTGATTGTTATAACTGCAACAGAGGTGCGCTGTTACTGTGTCTTTCATTTTCCCTTATAATAATTGCTTGCGCATGTAATAATTATCTGAACCGTCAAACCTGGTGAAGTCCATGATATATTCTATTCATTTAGGGGAGCCTTGAAATGTACTAGTTATCAAGATGTTCTTTCATTTTTAGAGCATGGCTTAAAATTATATGCAAGAAAACTGACAGGCGGTGTTTGTAATTTGTAGTCGCAAAGTGATATTAAGTCCATGGCAGTTGAAGCTGTTCTTTTGCTACAAGAAAAGATAAATGACGAAGATGATGCAACTGTTTCAATCCGGCTCTTGGTTCCATCAAAAGTCATAGGGTGTATCATTGGGAAAGGTGGTTCAATCATAAATGAAATTCGGAGGAGAACTAAGGCAGATGTTCGAATCTCAAAAGGTGATAAGCCTAAACTAGCTGATGCAAATGATGAACTGATTGAGGTTTGGTTACTTTTTTCATTGCTTAACTTTCTTTTTTAATTTTAATCTTTTTTTTTTTTGTTTGTTTCTTTGCTTATTTTGATCAATGCTGTTCTGGTTAGGTGGTTGGCAGCGTTGACTGTGTGAGAGATGCACTAATACAGATTGTGTTAAGACTCAGGGATGATGTGTTGAGAGAAAGGGACACTGGCCATAATCCATCTATAGGTGCTGAATCATTATACTCAGGTGGCACCGGTCTTTCTGTTCCATCTGTGTTGCCTTCGGTCCCTCCCCTTGCTGCTCCACTGGCTTATGATCACAGGGGCGAAAGTGGAGGTGGACTGGGCATGCTTTCTTCTAGCAACCTGTATGGATATGGATCTTTGTCGGTATGTCTCTCTGACTTCAGTTCTTGCTAAGTCATTACATTGTCACTGATACCCTATATCTTGATAGTACTTTTGTAAGTATCATGGCTTATTTGTTGATACAGGTTTTGATTCGAAGTTCTAGGATAATTTAAATCACAGGGAAAATAGCCCTGTTCATTTTTTAATAAAATTTACAAATTAAATTAAATTACAAATGAGTTATCTTTAAAAAACTGTTCTAATATTCCATGCTGAATTTTTCCTTTTAAAAGCATGATTATTTGAAGATGTACTTTATTTCTTTTGAAGAAATCATAATTTTTATGATCCTTTCATTTGCCAAAAACTAAAAAACTGGGGATGGAAAATAAATCAAATCTTAAGTAATGGTATATGCTATCATTCCATCCTAGGCTGCATGTGGTATGATAGGAAGTTTCCCCTGGAATTTTTACTTCAGAAGTAGAGATGTGTTAGAATGTACTCATTTTCATCAGGAAATATGACCTCAAAATTATTCTTTAATAGATAGTTTTTTGAAAATATTCCAAAACTACGTATTTCTCATCAAGCATTTTGTTTGGACTATAACGGACCAGATCTTAGTTTATGAGTGCCACCGTTCATTGACATGAAGTAAAATATCCCATTAACATATGTTGGTTACTAAGTTGATGCAGATTATATGTCCAATGCCTATGTTAAATTGATTTTATTTCATTTGGGAAAAATAATCATAAAGCCATTCTTGAGTATAAATACGGTAAACAACAAGGACAACTAGCCTTATCTCATTAGGTGGACTTGGTTATATGGATTGCACAATGTTATTGTATTCTATAATGAGCTAAGTTTTTAGGAATATTGTTAATTAAAAAGTTTTGTTCAACAACTTTCATAAGTGTTCTTTTTGGTCTTCCTCTACCTCTCTATATATAAATAAAGAAACAAACTTGTGAATTTCTTCAGGTCCTTTTCCCCTTTGTTTGTTATAAATGTGACATGTAATTTCTGTTTTTAGTTTCTAATCATATAGTGGTAATTTCTTATCTTATTTTGTTTGTCTGTAGCAGATGGGAGAAACTGGCTATGGATCTGTGTCCTCATATGCCTCCAAGGTGTACGGAGGGTTAGTATATTTTGTTTGCCAAAATTCTTCGGTCTAATGTTGTACAACTAACTTGGTCTCCCCTCCCCCCAAAAAAAAACATCAACTCTATAACTATGTGATGCTAATCAATCTTCTTTTTGTCCCCCTATTGTGCGCAGTTTGCCTCCCCCATCAGCCTTGGAGATGCTGATTCCTGCAAATGCTGTTGGTAAAGTGTTAGGTAAAGGAGGGACAAATATAGCCAATATCAGAAAGGTTTGTTTATGCATTTAAAATCTTGCATTCTTTGGTTTAAAAGATCTATCTCAATTCATTACCTTAAATCAATGTGAGTTTGCTCCTTTCTGCTGTATCTTATATTCTCACTGTATGCTTTGGATTGTGATAGTCTAGAATGAGTTGAATATCTTGAACTGCAAAAGCTTTCAATTCAATATCATGCATTCTCAAATATAGTTCTTGGTTTTGGCTGTCGAGTTATGATATGATTTTATCTTATCATTTCCTTGTCTTTTGTGAGAAGGTAAATATAATATCCAACTTTTCTCATACCAAGTATGTCTCAGGGTGGAAATGAAGTTTTATGCTTATTTAAGTAGAAAAGAATAAGTTGTGGAGTTCCCTATTCTTTACTTTATTAATGACGTTTTACATGTTTGGTGTTTAATATTATCCTTTTAAATTTCATTTAATATGCTTTTGTCATCTCACTGATGATAGCCTTGCATTCATATGTTGTGAAATAGTTTCTTGTGTTCATACCATGTTTATTGATTGGCAGAAAAGAAACATGATAAATATACTTGTCCTGTTTGGTGTCAAGTACTATTGTTGCTTCAGAATTCATTCATCAACCTTAGCTTACTTGGGAATACCCATGTGTGTTACATCCACAAAGTATACAGATGAAAATTTGTTGCAAAATATGCTTCATTTTATGTCTGTTTCATGTCTAGTTGTTTCACTCCAGATTTCAGGAGCCATGATAGAGGTTTCTGACTCCAAATCCTCCCGGGGTGATCGTATTGCTCATATATCAGGCACACCTGAGCAGAAGCGTGCTGCTGAAAATTTGATCCAGGCATTTATAATGGCCACCTGAGTTATTGGAGTGCTCTAGTTTGGAAGGTGGAATGATCAGTTCTTGAAGCGTGTCCTTGTTCCTCTCCTTAGCTCTTCTAGGTTGCTTCCTGAGAGAAAATATTCTCTGCATCAACCTGAGCCCTGCGTCTTCCAAAACAGTAACTGTTCCTGAGGATTCATTGCTGGTTCTGTATTTAGGAGTTTTAGTCCCTGTCTTTTTTCTTAATCTACTCCTCATCTGCGTTTTCTCTCAGAAATTTTTAGGATCTTTCTTTCCATTCATACTGTTTTGTCTTGACTTGTTCAAAGTCATCTTTATCTCCATTAAATGTTATCAAAGGAACCTAGTGATTGTTTTTATTTTGATTCTGGTGGTTAATGATTCATCCTCTTATTCTCTTTATCTTTTTTTTTTTTGGCTAAAACTTTCTTCCGCGACAATGCCAATGAATGCAGTCTCTATCAATCTCCTCTTTCCAATAATCATGATTTATGCTTACTTGTACTACTCAAAATTGGGGAAGTTGCCTTATGAATGTGGAGAAAATTTAGTTCTTGAACATTCCCTCCTTTGCTGCTGTTTTCCATAGCTTGTACTCCTGGAATACAGCTGACCATTTCAAACTGCATATAACCCTTGTTCTGTTTCATTATTTGGGCTTCTAGTTTTCCTTCTTATTACACCATGTGTAATATCTTCGATATACCTATAATCTGAAAAGGCATTGAGATTGATTTTCTGAAACAATTTGTGTAAATTCTATTGTCTTTTGATGGATGCCACTCACCTGGAGAAACTACCTAGCTGCTGTGTCATATTCTGGACTTGTGGCAGGTCTTCCCCTCTTACAGCAATTCATTGTGGTTAATACTGATTTCATCAGATCCCATAAATTCAATCAAGGGTGGCAGTTGAATTAACATTTTGATCTCTAGTTCTGCTGCCTGTGACTTGATTATTGTCCTGTCAACAAATTATTATCTATATCCTCAACGAAGCTTGAATAGTAGTTAATTGGATTGTTTTCATCAGTATAATGCCCAGCTCAGCTATTGTCGGTCTTAGCTAAACAGAAATCAAATTGGCATGTAATTGCTGCTTTCATATCCTATATACATCTGCAATTCAGATCTTTCTTTCTGACTAATATGACTCTTCATTGGCAACAATATCAAATAATCTTGTTTCATTTAGGCATATTCTGTCTTATCTATGATGCCATCTTCTGCTAAAACATCTCTCATCCATAATGCCTGTGTTTTAACACCAGCACCAATGCGCTGGAAGCTTCTGATCCCTTTGTAGATGTGACTGAACTCTTTCCAGCCTTCTTTCTATTTTATGTTATCAGCTGGAAACTCTTTAGGGTTGATGTTGAAATTTGGCCTTACCTCAAATTGGAAGACACAATTTTATTGCACCATTCATCTGGTTTCTTGGGTATTATGAGAAGTTAAGCTATCCTCTGATCTCAGCTGTGTAACGATGCTCACTATGATGTTTTCGTAGGTCTAAGCTCTAAGATAATATACATGTGGATGAATCCTTCCTTAGTTTTGAATATTGTATATTTCTGTTGACTCACTCTCCCATACTTGATTCTGTATATATCCATTCTTTCCGTGTATTCTCTGGTTTGTTTAGTCACTACTCTTATCAGTAATGATGTCAAAATTAGCGAGTTTGGTTTTTCTTGAGGGATTTCCTGGTACTTCTGTGAGGAAGGAAGATGGTTCATTGGTGGTATAGAAGCAATACTGAAACTTGGATGTCACAAATCAACTTGTTAGTTACCAATGTTTAGTTTGCGCATTAAGTAGCACAAGTAGTTGTAGTTGTAGATGTAGATGTAAATGTTGATTATCGGTATGTTTGGGTTTGAGCCCCTTCTATTTGCCCTCTGGTAGCCTTACATGCAGTCAACTTTTTGTTAATGCATTAGCTAATGTTGTTTCTCATGTTTGAAACACAAGAAATTTTGTATATTTCATTTTATTGAATGAAAGAAGGCCACTTGGATAGGGGCCATTTACTTGGAATGTCTGGCACCCTGTGTTGTGAACGATTTATGATCAAACAGTTTCTCATATCAGGGATTTTATTATAGCATCAGTCAACACACAGGTGGCAGTTTCAGAGTCACATGACTCTTTCTTATGCTGCAACTCTGGGTTTGTGCACTTTTGTCGTGTAAATATGTACTACTGTTATGTACCATTGAGAAACAGATTCTGGTATTTTGATTGAACATGTCATCTAGGTTTTCATATGATAGATAGTCAAATTCTGGCGTTCAAGCACTGGATAATCCATGAAAGCTTGACCGAAAGTATTACTTTAGAGTTAAGAAATGCATTGGACCTGATGTCTGGTTCTTTCTGGAAATACGCAGAGACAATGATTGATCATCCAATCACATTTGAAATGTTTTCTGAAGATCCCTGTTTATTGCAGTTTGTATCGTTACTATTATTGTTTTGGTGTCTCATCTTGTCGTCTCCTCTCTTAAAAGAGGAATGGCAGCTTCTCGTCATAAATTTGTATTCAATGCTACATCTAAATTTTCCAGCTATCTTTATCCTCTTTATACGTCAATTTCTCACCTACTCTGTTTATGGTACAATTCAATACGATTGTGATAGTGTTCAGTTTTTCAGGTTTTTAATTATTAACTCTTTCATCATCTCAAAATTTGTGATTGTTTCACCCTCTGTTTTTGTCTGTGGGGGAATCTTATGTTATAGTTATGCGAAGCTAGAGGTTTCAACCTTTAATTTAATAATGTGAAATCTTCCAAATGTAATCTCATGTAACTTGGAAAAAAAAAAAAAACTAATGCAATATTTGATAGATACAAAAGAATGATTTATGAAAAGAAAAGGAGAAATATACTTATTTCATTATGTTTTAAAAAATATTTTTACTTGTGCCAAACATTTAGTAATTTTAAAGAAAATAAAAGGTAAAATTTATTGCCATTTCAAATAGTTTTTTACTATCAATGCACTGTTTGTTTTACCCAAAAAAAAAAAGAAATCAATATGCAGCAAGCTAATGCTTAATCTATTTATCTTTTAATTACTTGCAAAATAGGTTTTATCTTTTTGTTTATTTCTAGAAAATAAATACTTGTTTCATCCTTTTTTATTTTGTAATTTCTTTGTAAACATTGTACTTGGGACAAAAAGCTTTAGTTAAAATAAAGAAACAACTTCTAATTTTATTTACCAGCATGACTGAACCACTGGATAGGACGGCCAGCTTGTCCGATCAAATCAACACCCGCACCTAATTGTAAGGTAATGATGGTTGATAATATGATAGTTTTGGTGGTGAATTATATGCTCCTTAGTTAATTTAAATTTCACGTAATTTCTCCTGCTTTTTATATAAATTCTTTTAAAGCCATTTGACATCTATCTATTACTATTAATTTATATTTATATTACTGTGAATACTTTTTTTTAAAGTCACAAATTTTAACTCAATCTTGTTTTTAAAGTAGTATATACTCCCTCTATTAAAAATATAAGGTATTTTTAGTCTTTTGAGGTGTAATTATTATTTTTTTTTGAAGTGCCTCTATTGATAATGACTTTATATTTATTATAGAGTGTTTAATACGGGTAAATATGAAAAGATATGATTAGTTAAAAAGTAGGTAAATATTTTATTGGGGGTGAGATTCGATTAAAACTGTTTTATATTTTAAAACGGAGGGAGTATATTTTCTCAATTTGCATTGGCTAAACGGTGACACAAGTGCTTGGAATTCGATTTTCAACTTTAAAATTTGAAAGTTAACCTACATATATTCTTTTAACCGTGAGAGAAATTAGTCTATGCTACTAGCAGAAAAATTTGTTAACGACAAAGACAAAGTATCGTATCTATTGCATTGAAATCCCATCATTAACTCATCATAATCATGGACAAAACAAACAAGGAATCTACTAGTTATCTTTTTTTCAGAATCTACCTCATCAATACTAAATGGTGGTTGATTAAAGATGCAAAAATTCTTTCAATTATTGAGCTATTCTAGCTTTAAAAAAAAAAAAATAGCATGATAGTTAGTCTCTTTGTACATGTAGTTAATCATTAACATATAACTTTTTTAACTTCTTTTAAATAAAAGGCTAAAGCGAACAATGCAAAGACAAATGTCCATGTCATGTTAGAAATCATATAGTTTCTGCACTTATAAAATGGATCTAAAAAATCTTAATGTCGAGGTTGTTATTTGAAGTTTGATGAGCAAGCCAGTTCATATATTTATTAAATTTTTTAAACACATAAAATAATCATTCAATCTCTCAGGACAAGATTTTTAATCTTTTCAATAGTATCAATTATGAAATGATTTGCGGCAAGATTGCTTTGAATGAGCATGAGAGTTTTAAGAGAGTTAAAGTAAATATTGACTTTAGAAAAATCACGCTTCTAACATAAGTTGATGTCTTCAAGAATATCCAAATGATCAGCAATGATGCTATGATAATAGCCAATGTATTTAAGTTTTTTAAACCAATTTCTTTTATTGTCACATGAAATTTTTATAAGGAGTAACTTTATTAAGATTGACTAAGCTATCAGTATCAAGTCTAGCATAACCAAATTTAGGAGAGATTCATCTTGCAAGAAGTCCTATCATTATCAAAAGACAAGTAATTGAGTTTTGTATGGAGATTATTAATATAATTGATTATGTTTTTTTAAAACTTTAAACGAAGTTTCAAAAGGCTAATCCTTGTGGTGGCACTATTTTATTTTATTTTTTTGCCGGGTTGCCTTCATGTTTGAAATACTGGCTCTCTAGGAGTTGGAAGGCTTTTTCAATCCAGCTGCCTCTCTCTCTCTCTCTCTCTCTCTCTCTCAACCTATTTATTATTTTTGAGACTTTCTTTTTTTTTTGATAAGAAATAGATGAGCCTAAACTCTAGACTCATTTACAGTACAAGTGCTATCCATGCAACGTCTAAGACTCTCCATGGGAAAGCTAAGAATGTGCAATCCAGGCCACGCATCAAGGGCTTGTTTCGCCAAATGATCTGCAGCAACATTTTTGAGACTTTTGTTCTGCCTAAACTACATTTTTGTTTTAGTTGGTCAAAAAAACTATTTTTGTTTTTGAAATTTCAGTGCATGCTACTTTTGGGTATGTACTTCGTTTAGTTAGTTTCCAGTACGGATATATATTTATTTTATAATCTTATTTTGATCTGAATATTATAATCTCATTTTAGTTTTGAATATTATAATCTAATTTGATGAAAATTAAAATCATGTGCCATTAAATGCTGCACACATGCAGGCCACACCGTGAATTAGTGATTTGTTGGATCTAAACCCCAATTATCACAATTTCACGTGCACATTATTTGGGATACAAATTATGCATT